ATACACGTACATACATTTACATATACATATATATATACATAGGAGGAGTGTATCTATATGGGGGAAAGTTCTCGTCGTCGGGAATCTGAAATGACTATGTCCCACACCATTCGCGGAAATCTATTCTCGTGAGAGATCGAGAGAGAGAGAGAGAGAGAGAATTTCAATATTCTGTAGCACGAGACTCGTTTCCGGGAAAACTATCCAGGCAAAGGCACCAGGCAGGCAAGCAGGCACAAGCAGCAGCTACTAACAGGACGTTGAAGGAAAAAGAACGAATAAGATGAAGGAAAAAAAAAAAAGAAAAAGGTTTGATTGAGAAAGAAAGAGAAAGAAAGAAAAGGAATTTATTGAGCGAAAGTTTCAATGCATCTTAAGTCTATTCCAACTCATACTAACTTGTATTTATAATAATAATAATAATAATAATGTATCGTTTGTAATCTTAAATGTGTCATAGTTAAACTATTACATGGGTTATATATTTTGTTTGAACAAAGTTAGCCAACGAGTTTAGTGTGTAATTGGCTTATAAAATAAGATTTTTTTTGGACCCACGGGGTTTGGAAAACTTTCATTTTCTTATTGTGTTCGTGTTATTAATAGAAATAATGAATGATACATATACATATGTCGTTTAAATATACAATTAAATATGTATTTTAATTTATTTTAACACATTACATCCGCCATAATACGAAAATGCATTAAGAAAAACATTAAATTAACTGTGTAACCAAATATATTAGGTTAGCAACTAAAGTCATTGCTTATTTTAAAAAGCCATCTATCGATAAAATCTGTAATCATTTAATTGCCAATTCAATAGAACTATTTTTGCAATAATCGTTTTTTTTTTTAATTTAAATATAAAAATTAATTTATATAATTAATTATTGATTTCAAATAAAATAATAAGAATTGTAAATATTTTCATGAATCACGTAGTACAATCGATTCGATTTTAACAAATATGTCTCACTCTGAAGTTGCAGTTATTCCGAAAAAAAAAAGAAAATAAACAATTTCAAAATGCGTCCCAAAAAAAGGCCATTAGTAATGAGTTAATACAGTGTAACAAATGTTTATATAATTTAAACAAAACTTAAAGATACAGTAGAGTAAAAGATGCAATTTCGTTTCAATTGATATAAAAATGGAGGAGCCATATATAACCGACGCCATGTTTAATTGACATTACCATCAGAGAGTGTTACCATCCCCATCTCTAACCTTTTTATCTCGATATATACTTTTTGATACAATCATTTAGTTCAATATATATATAAAACTATAGTTTGGCAAAGAATATAACCTCAAAGTAGAATATCAAAGTTACAAAGAGGTTAGGAAGTTACAACGAATAGAAAGATAGTTAGCTAGCCAGCCAGCCAAACGAGTTAGGGGTGGGGTGGGGTAGGGAAGAGGGGGTAGAAAGTCGACGTAACCAACACATACACACACACTCACACACATATATACATACACATCAAAAGTATATCGTTTCTTTCTCAGGGCTGATTTGGCAACGAAACGAACCTATCATCGTGGTCGTCGCGTTTGGTCGCGAGAGTGCTCGCGTGTAATTATGTGGTTTCGTCTTAGTATGGGTGGTGATGGTGGTGGTGGTTTTCACCTAACTTCCTCGTTTTCACCGGTAAGAGAGAATATTCTCAAGGAGTGACAGAGAACCAAGAAACCGCGTTCGTGATCGTTCTACTTTCCCCTTTGGGCTCACTTCTTCGAGTTGTTCGACGAACTGTTAGTCAGAGCTGGAGGTTAAGTGGGGGGGTCATAGAAGGCCCACGCCTTCGTTAGAGAGTCCCCGGAAAGAGTAGGCCTTCTGATAGATAAAGAACTCTCCAAATTTAATCCCTATAGGATTTATTTGATTGTTTTATTTTTTTTTTTTTTTATTCTTTTGTTCAAAAATTATTTAAATATTTGATATTATATAATATGTTTAATTAATGACACGTATAATTGCATTTAAGTAATTTATTTTTATTTTAATATATCATATCTTTAAATATTTATTATTTATTTATTTATAATGTAATAAAAGAACATTGTTGAAATTTCGCAAACAACATTTTACCAATATTTAAAATACTACAAATAAATATTAAAAATAGTTAAACTAATACCAATACTAAAATACATTTTATATAATAATAATAATAATAATAATAATAATAATAATAATAATAATAATAATAATAATAGTAATAATAATTAGTTTTCTATAATTTTATATACTATTGACAAATAAGAAATACTGAGAGGTCGCAATCGATACCACCATCACCACCACCACCACCACCACCCACGCACATATAAATCTCGAAATAGATACGATGGTTGGATTTAATCGTCTATCGAAGTAAATTACAAACAATATATATATATATATATACATATATATATCAAAGTGTAAGAGAGAAATTGGCGAATCGCCCTCAGATCGATTTCTTTTCTTGTCGAACGACAATCATCGTTCGTGTTCGTACATCCGTGACCAATCACACGCAAGGTGCTATCGCAATAGAACAGATAGAAATACATAGGGTTTGTCTTTACTCCCCTGACGAAAAAAAAAAAAAAAAGAAAAAAATGTTCGCCAATCTTGTCCTCTTGTTTCCTCCCTCTCTTCCTCTGTTTTGTTTTTCTTTTTCTTTCTCTTTTCTTTTCTTTTCTTTTCTTTCTTTTACCAGTCGTTACGGACTATCTAGCGCAAACCAATGTGGGAGTAGCAATGTGGAAGTGAAAGTTGGAAGCTTGTATTGTAGAAGGGAAGAGAGAGAGAGAGAGAGGGAAGGAGGGAAGGAGGTTGAATCAAGGGTGGGGAGGGGAGGAGGAAAGTCCTCCTTCGGAAAGTGTCGTGTTTTATATGTTCTTTGATACGGAACAAAACGAGGATAAGGATAAAAAGGAAAAAAGAAATAATTAAAGAAAAGATGAAGTAGAAATATTCAAACATTCCCTTTAGTTTCCTTTAGTTATTTTTATTTATTTTTTTTTTCTTTTTTTTTTATTATTAACAAACGAGAGGAAGTCAAGAAGAAAAGTGCTTTCTTTTTCATGCTATACATAAAAATAATCGTTCAAATGCACAGAATAGATAAAAAGATAGATAATAGATAAAAGAAATAAGAGTGTATGTATCTGTGTGAGAGTGAGAGAGATAGAGATAGAGATAGAGATATTGACAGAAACAGGAAGAAACGTTCCAGTTTTCATCGTATTCCCTTGTCCATTGGTTGAGATATAGTAACACGAAACATTTATCGACGAGAAAGGAAACGCGAAATCGCATTTGGTCGCGTTTCGTCGTCTTCCCCCTCCCCTTTATCATCTCCTTCTCTTGCTCCTCTTGCTCCTCCCACTTCTTCGTTTCTTCTTCCCCTCGTTTTTTTATCTATATCGAAACAAGGGGGTATTTTATTTCATACGAATGCATATGCATATTTGATCACGTCGTACAATTGTATCTTTCAAAATATATCAATCATTGCAAATTGTTGTTGTTGTTGTTGTTGTTGTATGTGTTAACGTTTTTATTATTTATACTTTAAATTCTGTTGATATTTAAAAAAAAAAAAGAAAAAAAAATAAGTAAATATTATATCATATTTCCTGTTCGGTGTCAATAATCGATCATTTGAAGAATATTAATGATCTTATCCAGTCGTGAAGTAAAAATAAAAGAAATAAAATGAGAAAGAGAGAGAGAGAGAGAGTACATTAGTTGAATACAGAGGAGAAAGAGACGGGTTAAGAAAAGGGGGTAAGGGAGATGGGGAAGGAACGATCGTGAAGGAAGAAGTAATAAAAACGGAAATGAAGAAAAGAAGAGAACCCAACAGGGGTCCGATGAACCTGCGAGGCTAATGTACTCTCTTGGACTCACCGTGGGCTCTTCGACGATGTTTTCCTTAGTAGTTCCGTACTTGTGCCACACGTGAGAGCTTGCCATATCGCGTGCCCTGCATACCCTTCTTCCTTTTCTCTCTCTCTCTCTCTCTCTCTCTCTCTCTCTCTCTCTCTTTCAATTCCTTTTTCTCTTTCACTCTCCCACTTGTATTCCCCTCTTTCTATCTGTTCTCCTCGTCTACAGAACAACAGCGCCACCACTACCACCCCCACTCCAACTGTTCTATCCCCACCACCACTTCTACATCTATCCCCACTCTTCCACTTGTCAGGAAACTCTCATGCGCGCGCACACCCATACTCATTTCTCTACATACGTACCCATCATGCATATACATAAGGTACGATAAGCTATCCATCCTACGATGGATATCCATCCATCCATCCCTATTCCCTTAACTATACTTTTTACCATAACACAAGCCCACCATGAGGAGGAACCTTTTGCGCTACTGCTTTTGCTTTTGCTGTATGCTGTTTTTGCCTATAACGAGAGTAGTTGCTCATCCCCCTGTTTCTATCTGTCTATCCCTCTTTCTTCTCACTCTCTTCACTTATCCACCCCTATTCCTTTCTCTCTGACTGTTTCATGATCCCTTCCATCTATGTTACTCGTTGAAGTCTCGTTCTTGATCACAGATGATCGACGTCGGTTCATCGATGATGATAAATGGGATCTTCATTTGTAGATTAATTTTACTTTAATCATGTCGATTCAATTCTTAGTATCATCAACCAATCCTTATAGTTTTGTTTTGTACATCATTAGTATTGTTTTAATTCTTATCGTCGTCGTCATTCCTGTTATTACTCGATCGTTATTTAGGTTATACACGTCATTTTGATTCAACATAATTTTAACTTCTTTTCTTTTTATATAAATATATATATTCATAAACCAAAGTGACTATTTTTATATCCAACAAAAAAATAACCTTGATTTGTTAACATATTTTACCTTTGAAGAATAATTTCCACCCATAATATGTTTATTTCTTTATTTGTGAATTTCTGCAACATTGTTTTTTAATTTTTTTATATTTTTTGTCTTCTTCTTTTTTTTCCAGGCTTGCGGTGAACGACTGTGCACCCCAAACCTCGCGAGTCAGCTCGAATTTGCACAGCAGCAGTAGTATGGCAGTAAGCCGTGTTCCGAGCCCACCACCGCCGGAAGTGAACACCCCTGTTGCCGAGAATTGGTGTTACACACAGGTACGTACAACCAACACGCCCATTGTGTTTTAAACCGAAGCTGTACTGAACACACAGTGTCCGTTTCCAAGACGACCGACTAATCGACGACGATAGTATATGTCCCGTTCGTTCATTCTAGATTCCACTCTGTGTGTGTGTTGAGGAGATCGTGTCTCTAACAAATACACACAATCAAACACAGAAAGAGAGAGAGAGAGAGAAAGGAAAGATACAAATTGTATTTGTTTCATTTTGTTTTTGTTTTTTTTTTATAAATCCGATAAAATTCAAAAATTAGATAAAACCAATGTGAAACAAAGTTTGATAAATTTATTCAAGATTTGATATTTACAAGTAAATCTCTTAACGTAGAAATAAAATAATCCAGATTGCCGCCATCTTGTGCCATTTGATATTCTTTCTTAACTTATTTGAAAATATTAATTAATTCAAATTTATATTTGTAAATATATTTCTAAATAATAGAAATATAACGCAATATAATAATACGTGACAAGGGGTTTGTTTAGGTATGACGTTTGTAACATTATCGTTTGATAAATGAAGCTTGAAATCTTCCTTTCGAATAATCGTCCTTTACCAATTAAAAGAGGTTAACGAACAATATCATCCTCACGTCGTACATACGTCATCAATTTTACGCGAGACACCGTTCGAGAATAACAACGTCGAAGAATTTAAAAGGGGGATATCTACTTTATCGACAGTCTGACTCTTCCATTGGCTTATCACTGTCCTAGGAATATAGATATATAATAAAGCGAACGGATGATGAAGGGAAACCACCACTCGATTCAAATATAGTTTAAAAAATAAAAAAACTTTGAAGAGTAATCGTTTCAGATTCATTTTCTTCTTGATTATCAACATTTAACGAACAATATTATGAAAATATTTGTGTAATAGTTAAACAATGAAAATCAAATTCATTGACTTGTCCTACGTATGATTGTTGTCATCGTTGTCGTCATCATCATCATCATCATCATCATCATCATCGTCATCTTCTCATCGTATAGCAATTTCTTCTTGGTTCGCGAAGAGAGTACGCGTTCCTGGCACTCTCGTTCTATTTTTACTGCTCGTCCCCTCACGATGTGAACGACCTGCAACTAGATATCTCGTTTCTGTCTCTCTCTCTCTCTCTCTCTCTTTCTCTATCTCTTTTCTCCTTTCCTCTCTCATTCGGATTCTTCGACCCGAACGAGGAAACGTTTGCTGAGTTCACCGTGAAAATTCGCCAACCACGGAACTAACTATCCAACTGAGGGTTGGAGGGGAGGGGTTACTCACGATACAAAAACCACCACCATTACCCATTTTCAACTTCCGCCATGTTGGATAGAATAAACTCGTCGAAATAAGTTCTTTTTTTTTTTTCTTCATTTTTTATAAACAATTATAATAATAATATACTCCGTGTCGTTTAAAAATTGTATCAATTAAATTGTTTGAACAGTTGTTGTTGTTATTTCGGTATTCGCATGATTCCTAAGGAAAAAAAAAACCCCTTTTCTTTTTTAACATTTGTTCATAAGAACATTAAATATGCACGCAACTTCTTTATCTCTACTTCCCCATCCAGTTAAGGTTCATCGTTCGAACGGGTATTCCGGGTTCAAGGCCGTTCAATGCGAAACGGTCACACGATTATATCATCGGCCAAAATTATTTTCTCTTCTGTCGTCGTCGTCGTCGTCGTTGCTTTTTTCAGCATTCATCATTCTCCTTCCTATAATCTGCGATCTTTAGAATTATCTTTTCCAACAAAACACAAATTTCAATTTAATTTAACTTGATACAACAATATTGTGTTTTTTTCATTTTAAATATTATTCAATTATTCGTCTAATGTATACAATTATCTAGAACAATGATTGTTTCTGCTATCGGTTAGATTTTATTCATGAAATATTCATTTGTTAATTTAGGAAAGAAGAAATAATCATTGTAATTAATTCACCAATCACTTTTTCTTTGTAAAATCCGCCATTATTTAATCATCGAGCCAATAAATAAATTAGAAAAAAGAAGTTTCATAGAACAATGATCATTAAAGGATTCAAAAGATCTTGAAGGATAGTTTAATTTTAAATCATATGTTAAAATAACCGAGCAATAAAAGAAAGAAAGAAAGAAAGAACTCAGACAGCATGTCCAAGAGAGGAGATCCTACCGGAAGTGAATAGAGAAGTTAGTTGGGTTGGTGGTGGTTGAACCCATGAACACATCAGCGGGGCAAGGCAAAACAACACGACACGTTAATATGGCACAACCAACAGTGGTACAGCACACACACACACACACACACACACACACTGTGTGTTGTGTGGTGTGTTCCCGTAAACGGGCACGGCTGATTCAAGGCCGATCGGCATCATGCCTGCCGAGCAGCAAGCAACGTGTGTGTTGTAGCGTCAGACCGAGCCTTCCTCGACGTTGTTGTTGGGTTGAACGACTTCATAGGCCGACGACCGATGATTCCCCCTTTTCTTCTTCCTTGTCTTCTTCTTATTCTTCTTGTCTCTTTCTCTTTCTGAACAACCCACCTGCTCTAACGCATACCGTATTTTAACGTCTCCTTATATATCACCAAAATGTATGGGAACCTAAGGACACCAAGATAACAATCGTTTTGAAACCTAACCTAACCTTTTCAAATGATTACAAACAATGATTTTATTATCTTACACTCCACGATTCATTTATGGTTAACTTTAGTAATTCATTTCAATTTGCAAAAATACAAGTGAGAATGTATGAGCCAATATATTGGTCCTCTAACGAGTCATCATTGTATTTTATATCTTTAGCATAATCTAAAAGAAAAGATATTAAAAGAAGTTTGCAAGAATTGTTGGTTAGTTGTTCACGTTACTTATCGTTACCATGTGTTGATTAATTGTACTTATCTTTATTAGATTTTTCTTGAAATTACGAAATAACAAGTAGTATGCATGCAATAATGAAACTTGGAGAAAAAAAAAATCCCCTTTAAATTTCGATTAAAACTATGTTCGTATCATCATCGTATGCCAGCAATAGGAGAAGAACATGCGAGGTCAGCACTAAAGGAACTATCTAGAAAGATAGATTTGGCTCTGGGCTTAGTTTCGTTCGCCAAGGTCGTGCACACAAATGACGTCAGAGATCATTGACATCTGGGGGCTCGACCTCGTCTTCTTCTTCTTCTTCTTATTACTTATTCTTCTCCTACTCTTCTTCTTCTTCTTCTTCTTTTCCCTTAGGCGTTCCCTTTGCTTCGTCATCTTGTTGCCATGCATTTTTTCTTTTTCTTCTTTAATACATATCTCGAAAATGTACACATTTACCGTTTAAACAATTATACTTTTGTTACATTTTCGTTTTAAAGTACCATCATTGTATTTGAATTAAAAAAAAAAAAAAAAAAATGGCGTCCGTTTATTCGTCGTTAATAAAGATCTCTTTCTTATCGACAATGAATGAAGATAATTTCTAATTAATTATTTTGTACGTTTAAATTATTTCGCACCTTATATTCTTTGATTATGTTGGTTATTTGTTTGGTTGTTATATTGTTAATGTTGAAACCTAAAAATAATAATTGAAAAGAATTCATTTCTTTTGACGTTAATATTTAATAATTCATCTTTATCGTATAGTCGAACAAGCATTTTAGCAAAGATTGAAGTGACTATAAATGATACTCCTTATCAAATATTACGTAAGCAAAAAAAAAAAAAAAGCCGAAATTCGATTGTTCGACCCTGACTTTTTATTCCTCAAGCCAACACGTGTAAATACTTGTAGTACTTCGTAGCTCACTCGAAGTCTCAAGGACAGTCTTGATATAGTTATATCCGTCCAGCTGTGTTCTGCTGCTGCTGCTGCTGTTCTGTGTACTTTGGGGGCCGCATATCTCACTTCTGTTATCTCCATTTTATCTTTTCTTCTGTCACGCCCCCTATCTGTTGTAACGTTTTACAGTTCCGTTAAATCTTCACGCGCCATATTTGAATATCAAATTCAAATAAGATCATTAATAATAATAATAATAATAATAAGCAGGATTGTATTTTAATAGTACACGTTTATCTGCGTTAATTTTGTTTATTTCTTTTTTTTTTTTTTTTTTTATTTCACGAACATATAGAAATTAGAGAATAATTAGATTAAGTTTAGATTCCACGAAATAGACTCTGACGTGGTGTCGCATTTGAAGGTCTTGTGTGCACAGGTGAAGGTGGTCAAATTCAGCTACATGTGGACGATAAATAACTTCAGCTTTTGCCGTGAAGAAATGGGAGAAGTACTCAAGTCGTCCACCTTCTCGGCGGGAGCCAACGACAAATTGAAATGGTAAGTGATATTTCTTGGATGAAAGAAGACAATCAATTAAAATTATTAAATCCTGAGATTTGACTTTAAATGATGAATTTTTTTGTAGGTGCCTAAGAGTAAACCCTAAGGGGCTGGACGAGGAGAGCAAAGACTACCTGTCCCTGTACCTCCTTCTTGTTTCCTGCAATAAATCAGAAGTCAGGGCAAAGTTCAAATTTTCTATTCTTAATGCCAAAAGGGAAGAAACCAAAGCAATGGGTATGTCCAACAAAATCATTTATATTTTTTTTTTTTCTAATCAAACTGATTAAATACGATTGTTGTTTAAATATTGTCAACAGTTTATCCAACAACAAAATTCCAACTGATTACAAGAGAGTAAAAAAAAAAAAAGAAGAACTTTGTAAAAGAAAAAAATATAATCCATTTTAATTTATACTTTCAGAGAGTCAACGAGCATACAGGTTCGTTCAGGGTAAAGATTGGGGCTTTAAAAAGTTCATTAGGAGAGATTTTCTATTGGACGAGGCCAATGGGCTTTTACCAGACGATAAACTCACGATATTCTGTGAGGTATATACCTTTGTATGTTAATTATCATATTTTTAACGAATTATGATTATTAAAAATAACATTAAACGATATTATTTATTATTATTATTTTAGGTCAGTGTAGTGGCAGACAGCGTTAACATTTCCGGTCAAAGTAACACGATACAGTTCAAAGTACCGGACTGTCGACTACCTGACGATCTTGGTCTTTTATTTGAGAACCAAAAATTCAGCGACGTTACGCTGACTGTTTGCGGAAGGGAATTCCAGGCGCACAAAGCCATTCTCGCTGGTGAGTTTACAAAAATAAAATATAGAAAAAAGACAACACATCCATTCTCCATAGAAGAGGAAGAAGGAAGACAAGAAAAAAATCATTGATCAACCAATAAACCAAATAAATGATTTCAAAGTGTCGAATGTATAGAGTTTGTCAATGTGTCAAGTTTTAATAATTGATTAACTTGACCGTAGGAAAACAGGGTGGTGAATCATTGATGAACTATACCGTAGAGACACGACACGTTTCAGATCGTTCAATTGTTTTACTTATAGATAGGTTGTGTGTGAGATGAATCATTGATAAAATATATTCCATAGACACTTTTGTCAATTATTCAATCGTTGTATTGATAGAAACCAGGAGACATCAATCTTTCACCTATTTCATAAAATATGTTCTACACCGAAGTGTTAGAAAATTGTTATTTATTTATTTATTTATTTTCTTCTTCTTGTGCAGCACGAAGTCCTGTATTTTCGGCGATGTTCGAACACGAGATGGAAGAGAGAAAACAAAATCGTGTTGACATAACGGACGTTGAACAAGAAGTATTGCGAGAGATGTTACGATTTATATACACCGGTAAAGCATCGAATCTTGAAAAAATGGCGGACGATCTCTTAGCAGCCGCTGATAAGTATGCATTGGAAAGGCTAAAAGTAATGTGCGAGGAAGCACTCTGTGGGAGTTTAGCAATTGACAATGCTGCTGACATTCTCATACTCGCTGATCTTCATAGTGCTGATCAACTTAAAGCCCAAGCCATAGATTTCATTAATACGTAAGTTATCTTTTAATCTTTTTAAAAATACATTTGTGTGTACACAGAAATAGATAAACACATTTTCTCAGTAAAATTTGTCTTAGGAATCATCAACTTTATGAATTTAGCAATAAAAATATTATTATAAGAATTGTTTGATGATATTATAATATAAAGGATGATTTGATTAATTGGATTAATTTTTGAAAATTGTTTAGACACGCGACAGACGTGATGGATACGTCGGGATTTAAGTCAATGGTAAATTCCCATCCGCATCTGATAGCCGAAGCCTTCCGTGCGTTAGCAACTCAACAAATTCCACCTATCGGACCACCAAGGAAACGAGTTAAACAGAGCTGAAAGCAATCACCCCTTACTCCGGGTACAACATCGACTTCGCCCCCACCACTTCTACATCCTTCATGACTTTTGTGTACAGTGATGATAACGAAGTAGTGCGCTAAATAAATGTTTCCTAGTGTGCGGCAGCTCTAACTACTCTAATTGGTCCAACTTTATGACGCGATTATATAATGCAACAAAATCTACACATACACATGCAAACACACATAAAAAAGAAGAAGAAGAAGAAGAAGAGGAAGTAAAAAAGAAACTTCAAACAATATCATCATACCCCCCACACACATACAGAAATACACGTACATATATTAACATATATTCGTTGTGTGAGAAGAGAAAAAAAAAAATAAAAAAAAAATAAAAATTGCCGCCGTCATCGTCGTCATCATCGTCGTCGTCTTCGTCGTCTCTTAGAAAAAGAGAGAGGAGGATGTGTTTGAAGGAATGGTGGACGGAGAGGGAAGGAGGAAGGAAGGAAGGAAGGGAGGGAGGGAGGAGGTTTTATCGTCTTACGCTCATTCATTCTGAATTTTGGTGTCAGTGATAATAGTGTGCGTGTGCCGCGTCTTCTTCTTCTTCTTCTTCTTCTACTTCTTCTACTTCTTGTTAGAAAGACAGTGATTAATTAAACAAATAAAATAAAGTTTAAATGTACTTCTCTTTATTGGACGATGATGAACGTAAAAAAAAAAAGAAATAATAAATAAATAAATAAACAAATAGAACTTTGAGATAGGCGACGATGAAGTTATTTGAAAATGAACCAAGTGAGGGGATGAGAGAAGAAAAAAAAGCAAGAGGATTATATGTCGAAGGATTATTTTGCAAGAATCTTTCTTCCCTGTCAACAACAACCAATCAACATCATCATCATCATCATCATCATCATCGTTGTCATCATATTGTGTCGTCATCGTAATCGTCATAGTAAATGTTCCGGTTTTTTTCTACCGTGCATTTCGATTATGCGATGAACGGTGTATTCTCACGAACGAAAAGCCAATTACTATTACTACTACACTACTACTACTACTACTACTATTACTATTACTACTATTGCTATTACTACTACTACACTACTACTACTCCTACTACTACTATTTACTACTACTATTACTTTTACTACCTTCTTCAGTTTCTAAAACAAAATGTGGACGTTGTTTTAAATATACGACGATGATGATTTAAAACAAAACAAAAAACACAAACAAGAGTAAAATCCGTAGGCACGAATGTGTTGTTGCGAAACAAATATTTCGAACGATTCACAATTCTTCTTCTCGCCATTGGTTTTACAACTCTCTCTCTTTCTCTCTCTCTCTCTTATTCTTTTTGTTTGTAAAACTTTTATCGATAATTTTGCTTTTTCTATCCCGTCTGAAAGAAAAAGAGAGAAAAAAGGGAGGGGGAGTAGAAGAGACAAATGAAAAGATACAAAATTGCAGTCAGATAGAATGAAGGATACAAAGAATGTAAGAATGTTGTAAGAGATTTGAATGAATGGATAAGACATGTTGAATAAATGGGAATATGAGTGACATGAATGAGTGGGAAGAACACGAAATTAAATAAATAAGAAAGAATGAATGAATGAATGAATGAATGAATGAATGAAAAGAATGATTCTCTCAGATTGAAAGAAACAATAAACGAAAGGTAAATGAATCATAAAAAAAAGGAAAGAAATGTAAAGTAAAGTGAAAGATAAAATTTCATAGAAAAGCACCATCAACTATCAATAAACCCTCAAAAAATTAAACATAGCTACAAACAAAATACAGTTGTTGACTGTTATTCTAAAAAAATATTGAAATTCTATACCCGCGCTGAAGAAGAAGAATTGTAATAGACGTTTGCGACCACCATAAACCACTACCATTACCATTACCAACACCATCATCACACTACTTCCTCTCTCCAAGAAAACAAAAACAAAAAAAGTAATTTTTATTCCACAAAATAATATTTTTCTTCAAATCATTTTTATTATATTTCCAACTTTTTTTTCTCACTATAAACGGATCAAAATAAAATGCTCCACCCATCCCCCACAACACCCTCTGCCTGCGCCTACCTGTCCAATTTATAGTTTATTATTATTATTATTATTATTATTATTATTATTATATATATTTTTTTTTTATTAGTTTAATACGTTAAACGACGAAGAATAAGAAAAAAAAAAAAGAATGATAAGACGGAAGGATGGAAAGGAAAGTTTTTAAGGGTTGTTCATTGGAAAATTCTCTTCCACATTAATGGCGAAATGATTCTAGTTAGCGTTTTTTTATGATCTCTTTCTCTTTAAAACACATACGATTACTATTATTATTATTATTATTATTATTATTATTATTATTATTATTATTATTATTATTAATTATTATTATTACTATCATCATCATTATTATTACTATTATTATTATTATTATTATTATTATTATTATTATTATTATTATTATTATTATTATTAATAATATGCGGTTACACTACTATGATTACTATTAATGCTNTCTCCATCCCTTACTTGTAATTATTTTTCTTTCATTTCCTATCTTATTTGATTTCTTATATTTTTATATAAGCATTGATGTGAATGCTCTTCTTTGGTAAGAAGATAATCCTTGGATAAAAGATGGAATTCATCTTTTTTTTTTTTACCCTTTTTTCTTTTCTTTTCTTTTTGAAGTGGGGGGTGGGGTGGGTGTAAGGGATGAAATTTTGTTCATCGTTTTATTCGCTATTTTTTTTTTCATTTCTTTCTTGGTTTTGTTCTAATTTTTTTATTCTTTTTATCTGTCTGTCTGTCTGTCTGTGTCTGTTCTGTGTTTTTTGTTTCTTCTGTTCATTTTCTTTTTCTTCTTTCCCCCTCTCCACTTGTTTTCCCCCACCACTGTGGTTTTCTCTTCCCTCTCCTAAATTGTTTTTCAAAACGATTAAGCACAGTTTGTTTTGTTTTCTCAAGTATTGCATAGTAGCTAATAAAGTGATAGATTTTTTTCATAATTATTATTAATTATTAATTATTATTATTATTATTATTATTGCTGTATTAAATTTAAGGTTGTCCATAATTTATCAAAGTCCTATGTTGATTATTATTATAAATTAAAAAAAAGAAAAAAAAGGAAAAACCACAACTAATAACAAATGTCTATATCGTGCATGTTTCTAAGAATTATACGTGTATTAATTAATTAATTAATTAATTAATTAATTAATTTAAAAAAAATCAATGAGAGAATGACAGAAGAATTTTATTAGATATCATTAATATAATTATTATTATTATTATTATTATTATTAACGAAAAGAAGAGAGAGGTGTGTGGTTAAAGTAAAAAAAAAAAAAAAAAAAAAAAAAGGAAACGAAACAAAATGATAAACGAAGAAAAATTTGAACATTGTATAAAATAAAAATTTAGTCAATTATAAATATCAAAAATTATTCACTTGTTTTCTCTCTCTCTCTCTCTCTCTCTCTCTCTCTCTAATAAATTATTTTTTATTATTATTGTTATTGTTATTATCATCATGTGGAATATTACAAAAAATTATGCGGTTTCGAAATAAACGATGTAAAATTAGTCCTCCTCTTTTCCGATTGGTTTTATTCTTTTTGGGACGGCAGAGGGGTGGGGGGAGGGAGGAGGAGGAGGAGGATGATAGAAACCGAAAGATAATACGTGAATCAATCAAGATACGAATTTTCAACAATTTGTTACAATTTCATTTTGTAAATTAACATGAAAATAAAAAAAGTCACACATGCAATAATTGTATGTGTGTTTGTGTGTGTGTGTGTGTGTGTGTGGTTCAATTGAAGTTACATAATTGTGTCATTGAATTTTGTACAAATATGAACAAAAAAAAAAAAAATAAAAAAGAAAAACAATAATAATTCTCAACGATGATTAATTTATGTTAAATTAAATTAACACGTCACGTTTTGTTATTTATATAAACAAAATGATAAATTGAAACAAACAAAGAAAGAAATAAAGAAAGAAAGAAAGAATTATGGGCAACCAATTTTTTGAAAATAAAATTAACAAAAATATCATCATCGTGTTTAGAGGTTAAACTGTGTAATGGCTAACCGATCCTCCGATTTTAGTTTAATTAATCGTCTCAATCATATTTTTTCATTATTTAATATAATACATACTATTATGTATATAAATATGTATTTACAATTAACATTTAAAAAAAAAACAAAAAAAAACAAAAAAAAAAGTAATGCGAGGATGATTAATGCCATACATGTTCTGTGATAAGACCACTTGTAATTACTGCAATTGTTTATCATTGCTTTTCTCATTCATCCCCCTCACCCACCCCCTCGTTCTTTTTTTTAGAAACAAAGCAAAAAAAAAAAGAACAAAAATAAAAAATGAAAATGAAAACACTCTCTCTCTCTCTCTCTCTCTCTCTCTTCGATTAAAATGATGATGTGATGATGATGATGATGATGATGATGATGATGATGATGATGATGATGATGATGATGATGATTATTTGGCAGCCAGTGGAGAAATAATAATAATAAGAATAACAACAACAACAACACAATAATACAATACAATTTGTTAAGTGAAATCAATAATCATTATTATAATTATTATATAATCCGGGCAGTCCCAAATTTAGCATAAATAATCATCTCGAAAAGAATAAAAAAGAATAAAAAAAAAAACAAAGTTTAACCAGTTAAGAGTGTGGCGATGAATCTGTGCGCAGAGTGCACTCTGGTGTGTGTCGCGATAATCAAGCGATGACGGATATAGTCGTCAAACACAGAGAGTAAGTAAGTGGTTGCGCTGTTAAAATATTGAGAATAGTCAAAAAGACGACTTTGACTTTGTTTTAGAAAAAAAAAAATGAACAATTTTGTTAGTAACGTGAAACACACAGTTTCTTAATATGAATATAATATATTTATAAATAATAAACGGAAAAAATTATAGAAAACAAAAAAAACAAAAAACAAACGAATATTTATCAAAATTAAAAATTTATTCTTGACTTTTTGTTTTTTTCTTTTTCTTTTTCACGTCTAAACATTTGAAACATATTCAAATTTATGGAATATAATTGAATTTTTCGTAACTCAAAATTACAATTGAAACATCAAATAAATTTGAACAAACTTTTTTACGCATGACGAATATAATCGTCAAACACGTTTAACTGATTAAGAATATTTACATTTACGAATAAAAATGGACTTTTTCGTTAGTCAAAATTACAATTGAAACATGAAATAAATTGTAATAACAAACTTTTTTACGCATGACGGATAATTATAGAAGAAGACGTCATTAAGACAAAATTTGATCACATCTCTCCGTCTGACGGATATAATCGTCAAACACGTTTAACTGGTTAATATAATTCTCCTTCGATTTTAAGCTTTTTACTGTACATATCTCTCTAAAAAAAAAAACTGTATTTTATAAGTGAAAACACCCGAAGGAAAAAAAAAAAAAAACAAGACTTTAACGAAACAAATAAAATATAAACAATAACAAATGAAAATTGACGCATGTTAATAAACATATGACACAACACACAACCAACAACAAATATACACTTTTATTGTACCGATAAAAATGAAACAAAACAGAAATATCATTCGTAATTTATTATTATTATTATTATTATTATTATTGTTGTTATATTTTACAGACTGTGTGCTAAACTCTCATGTTCCTTGAAAGAAAGAAAACAAAACGAAACAAAACAAAACATAACAAAAAAAGAGTAAAAAAAAAGATGACAAAAAATGACTCAAAAAAAAAAAACCAAAAAAACAAAAACAAAAAATCTAGCGCATGCGTGAGTGGACGCTTTTTAAATTTAAAATAAAATTAAAAATAAGCGAGAGAAAAAGAAATATAATAATAGTAGACCAACAGAAATTAAATAAATAAATAAATTATGTCGGGAAAGAATTTATTATTATTATTATTATTATTATTATTATTATTATTATTATTATTATTATTATTATTATTATTATTATTAGATAGGAATTTAGGAGAACGGCACGAAACAAATTTACTTTTTGTTCTTTTCATCCCGATATATCTTTTAACACATTTATATAAATAAATAAATAAATATAAATATATATGTGTGTGTATGTGTGCGTGTGTGTGATATGCGTTAATTTAAAACGAAGGAATTAAAATATATATATATATATATATATAAAAGTTGCACACATGATGTTTTAAATGGCATAGACATTTTTTTAGAAAAAAAAAAAAAAAAACAAATAAACAAACAAACAAAATGAAACAAAATCTTGCCGGAAGTGAAGAAAAAAGAAAAAAAAACATAGTTAAGAGACTTTTTCCACAATTTTTTACACACGATCGTTCTTTAACGAGAGATAAGAACAATTAGTAGATTGATAAGACTATTAATTAACAAATAAAAAAAAAAATAAAAACAATGATAAGAAAACGAAAAAAAGAGAGAGAGAGAGAGAGAGATTTTTGAGGGGCCCCCTTTTTGATTTTGGCCGGGGCCCCCGTGTCGCCCAACCTGCGTTTCTCGTCTGTCCTCTTCTGTGTCACACACTCACACTCATATACACAAAACACTTTTTAGAGAGAGAGAGAGACAAGAAACACAATTTTGTCACGTCCTTTGAAAAGAGAGAGAAAAAATAAACACAAAAGAAAAACTGTATAAACTAATAATAATAATAATAATAATAATAATCAATCTTTGGGACTGTACGGCGGAGACATATTTACACTTTATACACCTACGTAAAACTTGTGAACGTTTAATGTTAACTTTAATTCTTCTTCTTCTTCTTCTTCCTCTTATTATTATTATTATTATTATTATTAATTATTATTATTAATTATATTATTATATATAATTATTATTATTAATTAATCTGATTTTAATTTTTTTCTTTCTTTTTTTCTTTATCCCTTTCTAAAAAGGGAGGGGGATGATAATGATGATGATGATGATGATGATGATGATGTGAGTTTTATTATCAAATACTGTGTATGACATTATAAGAAAGAAAGAAAGAAAGAAAAAACTAAACTAACATAAGAAAAAAAAAAAGAAAAACCAGTTTATAAGTAGATTAATAAAAATGGAATGATCATTTTTATTTCTTTTTTTTTCTTTTTTTTGTTCTTCTGATAAAATCAATTCGCAATAAGATTTAATTCTATGAGCGTACGACTGCATAATTTGATATAAATGATAAGTACAATTTAAGAGACAAGTGTTACCTCATCATGGAATTCAGCACATTCGTGTCACAACTTTTTAAAGTGATATAAACAATACAACAACAACAATAACAACAAGAATAACAACAACAAAAATACCACTGTGCGTATTACTATTGTGCGTGGGTACATCATAACACATACACACATATATATATATATATATTATACACTTCCATTGTATGTTGCATTTAAAAATTCAAAGAGACTTTTATAACATGAATGGTCCAACCAACCAATCAATCAATCAATTAACAAACAAACAAACAAACAAACAAAACAAAACAAACCCCTCTCCAGTGGTAATAATCATTTTTAGTGCACGAGTGCTGTTCATCAAACCCAATCTTCATACAAGACATTTATTCATTTTTTTTCCCATTTAATTTTAAGTCATTGCACCACCCCCTCTATCCCCCACATCAAATAAATGACATTTTCATGATATAATATAAATCATGTGAATTTTTTATGCCTGAGTTTTTTCATTACCCTTGACAACAACAACAACAACAACAACAATAATAACATTCCCTAGTAACACAAAATATTGAATATATATTTGTATGTAATTTAATATATATAATATATATATATATGTGTGTGTGTGTGTATTTAATATTAAAAAAACATATTGAATCTTTTTTTTTTTAATATTAAACACACATCTGTGCAATATTTTTCAATATTTTGTCTTACTGGGGTAGAGGGTCGGCAACCTGCGGCTCGCGAGCCACATGCAACAACTCCTTGAATGTGAAACTGCAGCTCTTTTTAATTAAAAGAGTGTTTAGTAACAAAAAAAAATAATATTAAAAAATTGTTCTAAATCGATTAACAAGGATTATTAGTTACCGATGAATAAATAAGATTAATTTTGTTGTTCTTTTATCAAAAAGTATTATTTATACGAGGAGTACTATTTATTGTTGACAAGAAGAACAAATTTGTTGGTGGCACTTAGAAAAAACATTGACATTTTGTCAATTGTAATTTTGTCGGCTTTTCCGATTCAAAAGGTTGCCTTAGATCCTCCTGTAGTAGGGTTGCTATATTATTATAATTTTTGTTTGTTAATTTATCATTATAGTATTTATTATAGGTCCTTTATTGTTTCACATAATTTCTGATTTTTGTGTATTTTTTTGTATTTCTTTAATTAAAATCATAAAATTAATTAATTTACATTATTATCTCGTGATAAAAGTAAAAATACGAAAAACAAAAACAAAAACAAAAAATTCAAATGGGCAATGACAAGAAAATCCATTTCTTCTTTGATAAGATTATTAATTGATATATCATCAAAATCGAACAACCAATTTTCACTTAAAATGGAGATTATTAAAATGATACCGAATATGTATTAATTATAGAGATGACAAATATTTCTTGGAAAACAAAACAAAACAAAAAATAATAAATAATAATAATAATAATAATAATAATAAAATTAATAAATAAAATTATTCCTAAGCGAATGAGAAACGTGCAAGTGGTGTGTGTGTGTGTTAGAAATTTTCTTATAGAGAAGAAGAAACAAACAAAAAAAACAAAAACAAAGAAAATATTTTATGCTAATAAACTTAATAATAAATGAAATGATTAACAAACACACACATACGTTCCGTAAATGCGTTTCAATTATATAAAAATCATTGGATAAACAAAATTATAATTCAAATGATAATTAGTTTGTTGTAACACAGATTATCATTTAAAGTGTATGTGTGAGAAGTAAAAGAGAGAGAGTGAGAGAGAAAGAATGAACGATTTTTGCTGTGCGTCTGTCAACGCATAAAGGTATGTTTGTGTTTATGTATAAATATATATGTATAAATCTATATATATATATATAATATAAAACTTATTATTAGATTATTAATATCTGATAGTCATATTATTAATTATTATCGGATAAAAATGAGAATAAAACTACCCAAAAAAAAAAAAAATAAAAAAAACAAGATAAAACTAATTTGACAATAAATGTTGCAGATATTCGCACGTATATCTTATGTATGTAAAAAATAAAATTATAGAAAGAAAGAGAGAGAGATAGAGTAAGAGTGAAAGTGAGAAAGATAAATTATCAAACGGGCAATTAAGTAAATAATATTATAATAATATAACATTATTAATAATAATAGTAATAATAATAATAATAATAATAATGTGTCGCATAGGTACAATGTATATTTTGTAAGTTATATTAATAAATATTAATTATTGAAAAATTTCTCTCATAGAGTAATAATGTTCTATATTTAATATTTTACAATTTGTATTTAAGAAATTGTGATGAAATGTTTTTGCAAATTAGCACACTATTATTTAATCGTCAATTTGTTAATGTTATCAATGCTTCAACGACATCACCCCTGTGTTCTCTCAGCGTTTGTTCTGCTAAATGACGATTTATTTCCATTTCTTTCATCTGTAATAATTAAGTTAAATGGTAAATGATATTCTTCTTTTTTTTTTTTTTCTCAATGTTTTATATAATAGAATAATCAATGAGAAAAAAATGATGTTATGTAAAGTAGTTCAATGCAAAATTTAGCTTACAATTAGATCAACATCTTCCTTTTTGATGGAAACCTTTAGAAGTTCTTTCTCCTTTGCTTTCTTTTCAGCAGCTTCTTTGTTACGTCGATCACCAATTATACTGAGTGCCTGGGTTTAGAAATTTGTTTTTTTTTTTTGATTTTCTATTTAATGTTTTACACATTCAAACAAAAATACACTTTATATCTTTTTTCTTTTTCTTTTTTGTTTGAGGTTAGTTTTGTTGTTTTTGACTTGTAGATCACTTTGAAACAAACTTACTGTTCATAGGTGTATTTAAAGCAATGTATAAGATAGTACGAGATTAATTTGATATATTTATAAATGTTAATAAATTATTAAAGTAATCATAACAAATAAATAATAATAATAAAACACGTGGATGGAAAATATGATAATGGTTAGAATGTGTAACTTACGCATGAAAATCCATCGGACGATGATATTTCCTTTTCCTCCGCGTAATCGGTAACCCTTTCCAAATCTGCAGCACCGCTATCATATTTGGCAGCTTTTTTCTGTGACTTTTCTTGCTGTACCTCATCCGAATCTCCATTTACATCCTCATCCGCCATGTTTAATTTTTTTCACAGCATACTTTAAGTTTATTCAAAATAATGTTTCCTTTCACTACCGCGACATATTACACCATAAACAAAATATTTGATAGAATGAACATCTTGTAAGAAAAATTACTATCTAACTGTGTTATCGAATGTCGGTAATACTAAACTTCTATTAGATAGACGGTCGGTAACTTCTACTTTACCACGAGTCGGTATTCTGTAGTAGCGCGCGCTAATTTTAAATTAAAATATATTTCATAATTAGCAATGACATTAAATAATTAAACAATAAACATTAAATAAATCTCAATTAAATGATAAAGTTAATTTTGCATTTTTATTTTTATATATAAGCACCCATATTTGAAAAAAAATTTTTAATAGAAACAAATATAATTATTTTTTTTTTTTAAATGTATTTTTGTCAAAATGTATAATCGAATTGATTAATTTTAATAACATACAAATTTGAAATTTATATGTCAATATTATTATTATTATTATTATTAAAAATTCTTAGATAAACGAGAACTAATCTATCTATAAATGTGTGCGTATATACACATGATCTTTGATCTTGTCTTCATACCTCTCTCTCTCTCTCTCTCTCTCTTTCTTTATTTATGAACTCGCATTCCATTGAGATTCTTGGACGCGTCAGCTTGCATCTGTCACGTAACATTCGCGTAATTCGATTCACACGCTTCCTTTTTATATTGTATCAATGTTAATCTAGTTGAATATCTTCTTCACATGAGATCGAGATAATAAATAATACTCTTCTCGATGCTAAATTTTAAAAATGTACAACATGACGTTGCGACAAAATTACACAATATATATATATATAAATCTAATAAAAAAAAAAAAAAAATTGTAAATTTTTACAAGATTTAAACTTTATAATTTATTTATAGAAATAATGGTGTGTATTACAGCAAAGATTATACAACACAACTCTTAAATATTATTATAAAATAAAATGGCGTAATTTAGAAAAAGAGAGAGAGAGAGAAAAAAAATAAGACACAGAGAGAGAAATATTTGCTGATATTATATTATAAGACGACAATGAGAGATGAGATTTTCATGATGATTCGATTAAAGTGTGTCGTGTTAACATAAAACAACGACGTTTAGTTAATAACATTGTAAATACTTTCTTTAAGTCTTTCTCTTTCTCTTCAGATTTTGCACGGACGTTGTTCTCTTAGCTGTTTTCTTCGTAGCTGTTGATTTGGTTGATGCCTTTTTTGCATATTTATCTATCAACGAATCGAAGAAATTATTCGATTGTTCAGCTCTTTCTCTGTTACGATTTTGAATAGCTAATGCTAAATTATTAGCAGCTGCATTTTCTTCATCTTCTATTTGTTGCATTTTGTTCAATCGTTCAGCCTCCATGGCTTCTTTGGCCCACTGAAAAAGAACAAAAAAAATATATTAAAATTAGATCATTTTGTAATCATTTATTTATTAATTATGTTGAAGAAATTATGAGTAATTGAAATCAAGTGAAATATTTTGATTTCGATTAGAACAAGATTGATGATTGAACTTCAATGTTACAATTAATAATATGCTTTATTCGTTCGTTAATAAAATAGGTCAGTCAGATTAAAAGCAACGATTAAGAAAAATAAGTTAAGTTGATCCAGATACGTAACAGAAACTACTATCGTTTAATAAACTCCAAATGGTGGATTAGAAACGCACTTGTTAATTTAACTAAGGGTGAATAGAGATTCATTTTCTATTTTTGTAACACGTGTGGGTCCTACAATCGTGTTTCATCTCAAAACTTATTAAATAACTCTCTCTCTCTCTCTTTCTCTTTCTCTCCTCTTGTATGCACATATTTAAATAAATACGTGTTGTAATACAACACCCGGAAATACTTCTTCTTCTTCTTCTTGTATACATTGGAAATCATTTCAAGAGACGGATAGATTTTAATTTGAAACGTGTCCAATCGAATATAATAAATCCCTTTGTTATTTCTCAAAGCAAAGAAGGATTACGACGGATTCTCTTGACGAACGAATTTTACAATACCCACTACACTATTTGGCACATTTCGAAACACGCTCGTATTATAAATCATTTGAAATTTTCTTTTCTTCGATAGAAAGAATCAAAACACATGAGTTGAACATTACAAAAAAAGTTTGAACAAACTTTTCGCTTTTCTCTGTTCCAATGATTTGTTGTTTTCTGTTGTGGTTGATTCGCACAAAATCTGTAATCATCGATGATGTTTCATATCGCTCGTGACCTACTCTAAAAATCTGTTAACGTGGAAATTCCGTTATTTATAATTTCTGGCAAAGTTACTCTCTCTCTAAACGTTGCAAGACTAATGTTAGGAACTTTAGTTACACAACCGTCTTACGCAGAATTTCTAATTCGTTCATGACACAATCTTCAAAATTATCGGCCAAACTTATCTCTTTAGAAAACTTATAGAAGATCACTAAAATGAAATACTAATCTTCAAATCAAAATAACAACAGAATATTATTATTATTTATTTTTATTTTACAAAAGAAATAACAAATCTGAACAAAACTTTCTTTTTCTTTCATTTAAATACAAGTCTCCTCTCGGTAGGAACGTGCATTTCTTCAAGGTCAACATTCTATTTGTATTTGGCACCGTTCATTTGTCTCTTTCATTGAAAGATGTTAATCTCAACACCTGTTCTCTAACCACGATCCATGAATCTTTTCTTGAACTTGACTCTGACGATTGACTTAATTGAACAACTGATTGACTGACTGACCGATTAACTAAATGACTAACTGACTGACTGACTGACTGACTGACTCATTGTTCAGTATACCTAGACAAATGATATTTTATCACTTTCCAGGATGATGATTAATTGTCATCATCAAATATATTTCAACTTACAACGAGCAGATTTGTATGATATAATTGACAAGTGGTTTTAGATTTATCTATCTATCTATCTATCAATTTATCAAAATCAAAATTCATTTAAATGTAGTTATCATCTGTATCTACATTTCTACACACGCATATAAACATTCGGTTGGATTTTGTAAATGAAATGAAATAATAATAAATAGATTGACGATAAAGATATTGCGTTGTGGAATTATCGAAAGCAAGGTCATTGCATAACTAGAATCAACGTGGTTGGACGATGGCATTAGTAATTATTTCATTACCACTCCGGATGCAATGCGACCCTCATTGCTCGTTTATTCCAATTGTCCTGCACTGTCTGTGTCTATTTTTCTTTCTCTCATTCGTCATAGACAAATCGTACGATTAAATATTTTTCTTTTTTTCTTTTTTTTTTTTTTTAATTATTATTGTTAGATCAATTATGACGTTGAAGCATTGAAGATTTGTCAGAATAATAAATCATTATCTATACTTATGTAAAAAGAATAATAATTGTTTACGAAATAATACGTACGCAATTGTGACTCTGGTTCTTGTCTTGTTCAATTAATAAACGAGGAGTTTGAACAATTAAGATTTGATTGACATAATTAGAAAATAGAAAACTAAATATACGATGGATGCCGATCGTGACCTCATAAATGCTTAACGCGGCTTATTTGAACTCTCTCGTGTACAAAGTTCTTATTACATTATCGGCTCATACATAATAGTAATAATAATAATAATAATTACTGATGATAATAATAATAATAATAATAATTATAGTACGATAAATACGAATAGAAGTCAATGCGATGTTGTGTGCACGTTTGTCGTATTGAACTAATGTTAAATCGTTCATGGCAAATGTCCATCAGCTAAAATCTCAGCACGATGATATTCAAAATAAAAGTGAGAAAGATAAGAAAAGGTGTAAGTTCAACAGATATCGATGAACTTGGTGGACACTGAGGAAACGGTTTGTCTGTAGTAGTAGTTTCTACTACTGTCATTGATGATTGTTGTGTATTTTGTTCGTTATTTGGTACAATTGACGGTTGTAATGGTCCTTGTATGGTCACAGTTGGTTCGTTATTAGGTACTTGATGCAAATCGCTAGGTGCTGCAGGTTGAACAATTTCTGGTGGTATTACTTGTTGTCTATTCGTGAAAACAATATCTTTCATTTTGATCTTTTCAATATCATTTTCTGCGAGCTCCGGGCCAAAAGATGGATTAGGAAGTGGATAATTCGATTCTATGAGTATACCATTTTGCGTCCAATATTCAGGTGGTTGAGTGGATAAGATATTTCTTGGATCTAACATAGGAGGCATAGTTTCTCGATTAATTGGCCTTGTATCAAATGGAAACGTTGTCCTAGTTGGATTGAAATATTCCTCGGAATAATCTAATGGTTCGAGATATTCATTATCGTTTTCTGTGACAATTCGCCAAGGTTTCGTTGATGAATATCTAGAAGGTTGTTCCGTTGTCATAACAGGAAGATAAGGATCAGCGATTGTTGGTGGATATTGTGGTACTTCCGGTTTATCAGTCGTAGTGATAATTGCAGAATAATCAACCGATGGAAATAATTGAGATATTCCTTCATTATGATCGGAAGTAATGGTGACCCTCACGGGAGCATACAATGGATAATGTGTTGTTTCAAGCATTGGTGAGGTACGTTCAGGTTCTCTCATTTCTTCAGTTGTTGTTGTTGTTGTTGTTGGAACAACTGTAGGAAAATGTAATCTCTTACGATGATCTGGCATTGACGACCAATCCGTTGAAGTTTCCGTTTGATGATTTACAACCATGCTATCGACAGAAACTTCATCAAAATCCTTCCATTGTGAATCTTTATCAAAACTAATGCCACGAGCATCGAGAAACTTGCTGATAGCGTTCGGACACTTGAACTCAGGATTTTCACTGAGAAATATTCTTTTTAAATTCGACAAGTTTTCCATAGCTTGACTGTTCAAACATTCGAACCGATTACCGGACAATCGAAAATCAATAAGACTCGGCAGATTTTCATACACTTCGTCTTCGATTGTCGTTATCTCGTTATAATTTAAATCCAAATAAGTCAAATATTCCAAGCCTTTGAACCAAGATCCTTTGACAGTTTTCAAATGATTATCGTCTAAACTCAATTGTTGAAGATTGACCAAAGATTGAAAAGCATTAGGTTCAATATCCATGATGTTACATCGCGAACATCCCAAAACCCAAAGATTATTGAATCGTGAAAACATATCACCAGTTATAACAGGAATTTCCATTTGTCTTATACGAATCTTTTCCGTTTCTGATGGTATAGAAAGTAAATCGTCAGGACGTCCTCCGACACACGAATATTCCAACATATCATCGTTTTCCACGTGAACGCACGTTCCTGTTGCATCATCGATACTCGAGCAAATTATTAACAAAGTTAATCCGAATACAATTCTATCCATTTTATTATTGAAAGGTTCGCGAGATATCATTGTTTATTATTTCATTCAATTATTATTGTATATCGTATCATGAAATTATTGTTTTATGGTAATATCAAAATCATCGTGCTGAAGACTTTAGCCGATAGACATAACGTGAATAGAAATGAGGGCGATCCTCGATCCGATTGTCCCGTGAACTAATAGCGCTCTTGCGCGTTCCCTGGTTACTTATTTACCAGTACTCTCCCCCCACCTAAAATACTTCTCTCACGGCATTGCTTCTCCTTCTCTAGCTACTTTCAATGGTCGAGCGACACTGTCCATTGATAAAAATAGAAATGCTAGAAAATAGAGCAACGAGAGTTTGTTTGTTTGTTCAAATATTGACGTGACGTTCAATGAAAACGTTTTCGACTGAAAGTAGAAGAAGAAGGATAAGCATTCTACTAATTCAACATAACACTATGCTTCCTTTGATGTTAATCAAATTTTTCATTAGACTTTTACGTCATAATCCAATGTATATGGTAATTCATTCAAGGGTAAAGTATAAGTTCAACATTTTTGAATAATGAGTAAGCATCCAATAAATTCTCTAATGAAGGAACTCACTTATTTCTATATATTTATGATTTATATTGTCATTAATCATACCTTCCTTTCTCTGCGTAACTTCTTTTTTTTACTTTCCTCTGTGAAAGCTTTGTACTCCGGTACTTCTCCTGCTTCTATCAATTTATTTATTATTGCGTGATATCTTGGCTCCTCTTCGCAATTACTGAACGGCACAACCACCAAGATGTAATCCATATCACCTTTACCTATAAAACATTGATGGATTTATTATCATGTATAATATAATATAAGTTTGAAATAAATGAATACAAACTCACCGTCGATGTAGGCCTTTTTTAAATCTTTGATTTCAGTTTCAGAACCTTTATAGGATTTTTCGTAGTTGCTAATAGTCTCTTCGGTAATTGGTTTAAACAATGTTTTCCAGTAATCAGCCCAGTTACGCATAATAACTTCTTCACTTTCCTCGTCATATTGGCCAGACTCATTGTAGATTTTTCTTTTATCTGAATCGCTGAGAATGGAATGTATTCTACCGAGTACTTTAAATTTCTCAGTTGCTTCAGCCTTGACATGTTCCTCAACACGATCAGGATGCACAAGGAGGGAAAGCTTGTGATAAGCTTTTTTCACTGAAGAAAATAAAGAATAAATTTCATATTAGAAATCATAATAATTCATTAATCTATCAAATAATTTCTTAAATCACAAAGAAAAAGAAAGAAAACAAATTGCCCTTAAATTACAATTTAGTTAATATGTTTTTTATTTGAGGTTAGGTTTTCATTAATGTCACATTTATTTACGCTTACCTTGTTTATCATCAGCATCTTGTGAAATATTTAATACTTCATAGAAATTTCGCGAACCGAAATATTTTTCACACAAATCTAACAAATCAGTCATATTTTAATTTTAATTATATCAGTTAGAACAAAAGAGATTTGTAAAACACTTATTGATTAGTCGCAGAACTGTTCAAATTTATAGCAACAATATTTCGTTACTATCAATATTTAAGAATATATTATTTTATCACGATTTTTCTACACAAATGACTATTTCAATAAATATCTATTTAATGATTAATGAAATATATTATCACTATGGTTGATACTTTGAATTTATTCTTACATTTGAAATATTATACTGACGTTAAAACAAATGCTCCGCCATGTTTTTGACAAGTGACGCTCTCTACTTCTTGGCGCGCAAATTCAAATCGCGTATATATTGCATATGATATTTGAGCTATGTTTAATCTTTCATTATGTTAAGTGAATAAATAATTATAATAATAAAAAATATGAAAAAAAATAGACAAATAGATTTATCAATATTTAACTTTTTAATTGTACAATGTTCAATTGAAGTATAATTTGAGAGACAAAAAAATACATTTACGTAATATTAATCATATAATATATAATTCTATTTGTCATGAAATATTTATTAAATAAATTTATGAATTAATCACTAATGATAAATGATAAATCAAATAATAATTAATGTTTCATACTTTTGTCTTACACGTAAATGTAAATATTAATCTATGATAAATCTAAGTTTGATCTTAATTTATTATTTTATTATTCAATCGTTAAGTTTAGTTTAGTTTAGTTTATAACACGGTTTGCAATCTTATAACAATTATATACATAAATTTATTTTTATAAATATAAGTTATTATCGTACATAAGATATTAATATATTCTAATATATTTGTCAATCATAATTATTTCGATCAACATTTTTGTTTTTGTTTTTGTTTTTTAAACATTGATAAAATATTCGACCTTTGCAAAGGCAAAAAGTCAGCGCGCATGTAATGCAATTTTATGAAGAAAAAATAAAAACAAAAAATACATTTCGCATTTAAAACCTGAATCTATAAAAGGAGAATACAAGTACTTCATGTTTATTATAAAATTCGTTCATTGACAACGAACAACAAGTGATGAAAGAATTAAAAGAGACCAGAAGGCTTTCTTTGGCTTGATATTCTCCACACTATATCGTGCTTAATTGCAGATTGTACTTTCTACGCGAATTAGCTTACACGAATACCTTCCTCTCAATATTTTATTTGTATTTCTTTTTTTTTAAGAATTTTTGTCGTTTCTATAAATGTTGTAATTCATTTGAAAATATGTTTTATTTTATTTTATTCAATTCAATCGTAAAAAAAAAAAAAAAAAAAAAAATAAAGGAAGGCTCGTCGTCGCTAACGCATTTTATTACTATTTCTATTATTTATTTATTTAATTTTATTAAAAGATACGCGTGTACTACAAAGCATTAGACACGGTGTTTTTTCTCTTTTCTTCGTATTACAAACAAAAGATAAAACACACAGGAGTAGGTACTTAATGAGTGATACAATTGTTGTCCTTTGACATTATTCAAAAATACAGAAATGCGAGTTGAAAAATAATCGACAGAATATAATATGTGCATTGAAGTTTATTCGAAAAAAAAAGAAAAAAAGAAAAAAAGAATATTTTCTTTAATCGATCTATTTGTATAATATATTTCTGCTTTTTTTTCTTTCTTTTTTTCTAATTCAATTTTTGTTCTTTATATATATTTTTTTGTCCATTTTTTTTTTGTTATAATAATGAATGATTTTTCTAGGTACGTTGTCGTTGATTTCTTCCCATATCCGATATTATTATAATAATATGTAAAATATAAATGTGAATAATGTTTTAAAAAAACATTATGTTACATCTTAAAATAAACTCTGTATCGATGATGATTATCGATATTAACGAACTTTTGAGCATCATCTGCGTTTTGTACGCATTCAAATTCGCGTTAACATATATATTAAACTTTGAATATACGTGTGCATTACAACAAATCCTTATATGGACGATGCAGCGTGCAAAAACATTATCTCCTTTGGAGATACAAAAACATTTCTCGATGAGAGATTAATCTTAAACATCTTTCATCATTTATAATCTCTATCCTCTTTAAAGTGGATATTGAATATTTTTATTGTTATCTTTCTTTTTTTTTTCTTTTTTTTTTTTTTAATTATTTTACTTCGTTTTCGTTATAATAATTATTATTACTATTATTATTAGCATTATGTCTATTATTATTAATATTATTGTTTTTCTTTTTTTCCCCCCCCTTGTTTTTTTTTTTGTTTTTTTGTTTTTTTCATTAAACCAACCAATATCACCTAGAGTAGCAGCGCGCCATTTTGAAATCAATGTAATTCGATTATATACGATGCTACTTAATACGATTGATAACCAAATCGGAAAGTACTATCAAAGCTTTTTGGTAAGGGCTTTCGGCTAACGATTGAATCAATCTGACAGCTTCGGCACAGTGTTTTCTTGCTAAAAATTTCGTTTGTTCAAGACCGTGCGACTTGTGTACCAATTCGTACGCTTTCTCAACGTCATTTGGTTCTTGGAATCGACGCATGATCATTGCATTGAGTTCTGGATACTGGAAAATTAATAGAACAATATTATTCAAATTATATAATTTACAAATTAGATTGATCATGTAATAAAACACTTGCTGTGTAATTTTGTTTCAACGAACGAATTCAATTGTTTATCATTACTTACCTTTTCACAAGCGAAAAGAACTGGAGCAGTAGCCAAGCCGAGTTTCAAATCGACTGCCGTTTTTTTGCCCATCATTGCAGAGGATGCAACAAAATCTAGAAAATCATCTACTAATTGAAAGGCAATTCCAATATTTCGGCCATACTGATAAGCCAGTTCTACTATTTCTTCGTTCATCTCAGTTGCTATTGCCGTCTACGAAATCAAATATACAATCAAATACAAAATTCATTTTTTAATATTTATATATTACATTTTTATTTGTATATTTTCATGTTCATATTTTTAATTTACCGCTTTAAGAGAGTTAGCTATCAAACTGGCCGTCTTTCGAAACGTTTTATTGAGGTAGTGAGCAAATCTTTCATTTTCTGTCTCCTTTGAACCAAGTTGCATCATTTCACCTTGTACCAGGTCTGATATAATCTAAATATAATAGATATTTCAAATGATTAAATGACTTTTCATATAATGTACTTCTTCTTCTTCTTCTTCTTATTTAAAAAATTCATTTCTACATACATCAGCAAGTGTAATAGTTATTTCATTGTGTTGATGACGAGCAAGTAACATAGTAGCAACCACGAGAATGTAATTCCCAGCAAATGCCACCTGAAAAATAAATTCAAAGTTTAATTATATTTTTTTAATATATTACAATCTTTATTTTAACTTTCTCCCTCTGTTACTCATTTATAAGGGTAGTTAATAATCTATTGTCTATTTCTATTGAAATAATATCTTATCCCATATAAATAATATTTATAGGTTTAATTGTAGTCGTATTATTATTGTATGAAAAAATTATTTATGATATATACACAATTAAGCAAATCCTGCATAAATAAATAAATAAATAAATATATATATAAATTATTAAATTAATTATTTAATAAATTATATATATATATATATANTATATATATATATATATATATATATATTATTATAATAAATTATTAAATTAATAAATACAAATTTTCTCTCTTTCAATTTAATTATATTTAATATTAAAAAAAAATATATAAATATATATATATATAAATATATATATATATATATTATTATAATAAATTATTAAATTAATAAATACAAATTTTCTCTCTTTCATTTTAATTATATATAATATTAAATTATAATATTTAAATAAAATTTAATATTATAAATGATAATTATTTATTATTATTAGAAAATTAATATTATAGAATATGAAATGTATTTGTTTTCTTTTTAAAAAGTAACTCTTTTCCTTTTCATATTTCGTAATACACACTCGAGCACGTGTGTATGTTTAGAAAGATAAATACCTATTTCGTTAAAAGTAGTATATTTTTCGAAAGAGAGGATGTAAAGAAGAAAAAAAAAAAAAAAGCGTGAAAAATAGGCGTCCTCTTCATGATGGTGTTTAATGATGGTGGTTTTTGACATAGCCGGATGTGAAACTTTAAAATGACGACGATTGTCAACGCGCGATTCGAGAGACAACGAACAACGAAACAAACGTACCATGACCTCTTCTTATTCTTCTTCTTCTTTTTCTTTTTCTTTCATGAGCTACCACATTTTCTTTTCGATCGTAAACCAACTTCCCATTCTTTTGTATTTTAGATTTAAAAAAAAAAATAAACGATAAGAATAAATACGAAAGACTTTCGCGGTTTTACTATAAACAATTTCGTTACGTGAGTTATGTCTTCATTGATAATTTATTATTATTATACACATGTTGTGTTGCATCTTATTTATATTATTTTACACAATTTTACATTCTTTCATAAATTTTCTTGTTTTTTTTTTAATTCATTGTTCAAAATAGATTAACTTTTTGCATAGGTTAATATAAAATTAATTAATTGTTTCATAATACGTCTTCTTACCCATCATATATGAATTATTATTAAATAAATGGCAATAGAGGAAAGTAAAATTAATTATTATATATTAATATGAATATGAATATATAAATATAAATATAAATTATAATAAATATTATTATTATTATTATTATTATTTAAATAATATTTAAAAAATAATTTATTAATAATAAATTAATAAT